GAATGAGATGTACATTTTGACTAATTCATGGAAATCTACGACCTACTAAGAATACGGTATACAGAATCTGCTCTGAAACATACTAATGACACAAACTTGTACAATATTCCATAAACAGGACTGCAACCTCTATAGACTACCAAAACGAATCGAAGAATTTAGATGTAGGAGTTGTAACTTTCGGAAGCAATCTAACGTTAACAACTCCGACAGCAATTTAGGCAGCAGTAACGACTTGGATGACGGAGGTCCCAAATGGACTTAGAATGATGCCGGGTAATGAATCGGGGGCTGCCTGGAATTGGATCGTAAACGAGGGATGAATCTGGTGATTGGGACTGGTTAGCAGAAGGAGGAAAACAGAAACATGGAAATCATAGATTCATTACGTTACCAATAAGCTCACAGTAGCACGGGGTTAGTGGCTCATCAAGGATTTTCGTCGAAAATTCTGATCCAGTTCAACAAGAGCAAGTTATAAGTTGTCAGATATGTGCTTTAAACAGAAAGGTTTACATTGCCTATGGTTCCTAGCTTGGCAAGAATAGATGAAATTTTACATGGCAAGTCGTATACATCTGCTTGCATACGCACACAACAAACTCTTGTTCAGCGAAACTTTAAGTTCATTATATTCAAAAAGCGTTTCACTCAAGTAATGCAAAGGCGAAGATAACTGCCTGACTCAAGTCATTTGCCGATTATTTTTCATGCGTTCTGCACTTATATATCAAAATCCATGGGTTATCTGACTATCAGGTTCAACAAGTTACGACTACATGTTTTTATCGCAATAACGATTTGTCGTATCGCGGAATCTGGCCTCCCTACGTGACCCTGAACTTGTGACTGACAGATTGACATATGACAGTAATTAGAGCACCAAGCGCTGCTAAGCCCAGGGATTTGCGTCCTACTCCCATTAAAAATCGATTTTACCGTACTTTTACAGTGTTACGAATGTAATGATCAATGCACACTGTGAATACATAGATACTCGTATGAAAACTTTTCTCAGTTTTGATATGTATTTTTGCGCATGCATAAATATAATGCATTTACAAATACATAAGAATATGCATGCCTTCAAAAAACTGACGATAATACTGACACCTATGTTCATATGCATATACATATGTCAACGTATTGAATTCTTGACATAATGATTGTTATGTATTCGTCACAACACATTCAATAGCATAAGCTCACGTCTTGCAAGTCTCTACTGACATCAGCCTATCTTTAATTCCAGTGTAGCCGCGTTTTTAATTTGCTTTCTGTTCTCTTGCTGTTAATTTCCCTGCCGAAATGTGTCTCTGGCTTGCACGCCGCGGGCCCTACTGCCTGTTTACTGTGCACAGACACGTACACACCTATTGGAAACTAGCACTAAATGAGTTCCCTCTGGAACTTATTCAGTCAATACACAGTTTTATTTCATCTGTAACGGATCCCAAGCCGATATATCTTCCTGTGAAGAATTGTTTTCTCGTGGATTTCCCGCGGCAAATGCCTGGTACAAATGAAGTTAATCTATCTAAGGAATACTCAGCTCATCTTACATTGCTTGTCTTTTGATACACGGTTACAAACGAATAGGTTTGAATAGATATTACTTTACTTTTTATCAATAACTGTCTAAAGAATATTTGCACTATTAGCATTTTATTTGAACGATACTTCATATATGATGAATAGCTGAATCGAAATGACATACAATATTGGAACAAAGAATGTGAGGTGTGTATACTGTTGAACGATAAACACTTATCGCCCAAATGGAATGTTCACATTGTTTTGTAACCTTCAATACGTATGCGCATACCTAGCCAGTTATCATTGTCACAGAACATCAACATCTCAGAAGAATATGAATATGGCATTGATAGCTACAGCCGGACGTCGGAGGGTGTTTATTCTTCATCATTATTCTCTTGCAACAGATGTGGACTTCCTCGACAGCTTCAGAAGGGTATGTCAGAGGCTTTTCGAAAGAGCAGACGCCTCCAGAGACAGTCAGCTAATTGCAAATGTGCACCTAATCTCTCATTATCTTAGGAGATGAAGGGATGCATCAGCAAATCCAGGGAGCAGTGACATCTGTCACTCGGATGCAACAACTTCACTAGCCTGGTATCCAGTCTTTCGTGGTTAGGGCGGGGCTGCAGGAGCTTTTCGCTGCTCTACTCAGCTAGCCTCCCCGGTAGGCTCTGAACAACAGAAGTTTAATTAGCCGGTCAAGTCCTGGCGTGCAAAACTCTCTTAACGTTGCAAAGCTCCTACAGGCGACTACGGCCAGTAGAGCTGGGCGGGGGAAAACTATCAGAGCCCCGGAGACAGCCTGCCCAACCACGATAGGCTGGATACCAGGCAGGGATTACATACTTTTCAGGCGTCAAGCTTGTAACAATGCAGAGATGCACTTTTGACTTATTGACTGCATGTCTGTACAGCTACGTGGCGCACTGCAAATACGGCTGTCTACGATACATCGCGGAGAAAATTGCAGCGACCTGACCCACGCTGTTAAATGTAAATCAATGATGGATCCTGCTGCGTTTGGCAATTGTTTCAATCCCGCGTGGACACTAAACATACCGATATGCATCTCTGATAGCATCAATATTGAACGGAATGTGTCACTGCAAGGCTTTTTGATCGAACTTTGAAGATACGTCGACCATGTAGGAATGTAAAGAAAACGTTTGATGATCAATTGTTTCTCACTATGACAAGACCTCTCCACTAAATCAACTATTTTTGTTACTGTACTTAAATAGCCTCTACCAGGCTTCGGGAGTGGCAAACTGTACTCCCTAGCGGACCATATTATCTGTCTATTTGGCTAATTTCTACTCTTTCCAGGCGCTTCCTGAAGCATATTGTAGAGGCTAACACTTTAAGTCAAATCGTCAGTTCTGATAGTTCTACGCATACACGGGGAGAGATTATAAAAGAAATCAGGAAAACAGTAACGTTACAAATTTATGCCCACAATTACTTCCAAGAAAGAACAACAAATACTCCCTGAGGCAATATATCAGAAATAATTGGGACGTTTTATAGCCCCACACGCTCAATGTTCATCCCATGACAAACGCACCTAAATCCCGAACAGGAAAGGCTGTAGTGGGGAGGGAAATACTTTAATCTTAACATACATCTCGGAGAGCTTCTTTCAGTTGGGAGCTTCTCTGTGCTGCGGTGAAGATTTTATCATTCAGCAAACTTCACCCCAGACGACGCCACTAAAATGTCTGCATATGAATAATTCTTTTTGACTATTATGACTTATATGAAAGAGCTGTACATAGCTCTGTATAGGGCTGATATTAATCATGATATTACCATGGTCAATATCGACTAAAGGAGGCCATGTATACTGCACATATAGCGCAGGTGTTTTGAGACTTTTATTTAAAAAGATTTAATATTGTAACTGGTTATCACTCTCAAGAGTGATAAAACTGGCTACGCTGATTTTAATTTCGATCACGAACTGAGGAAATCGAAGCCTTATTTGGAATTAATTTAGTAAAACCTTAATTTAAATTAATACATTAAGAGGAAACACTTAATGTGGCAATATTTTGGTTTGTAGATTTTGTTTATGTGACGTTAATATTAGTTCCAGCCCTTGCGAATACCGTAGGCTTTTTAGATGATCTTCAAAATGAATTATTGCATTCTAGTGCAATACAAGACATATATCCAATGGAAAAATGATTTATTCATACTACATAATTATTTATCGATGACCAGCGGTAACATCACTGATGACGATGAAAGGTAATGATTATCAGATGATTGAGTGCGGAGGTGGAAGTCAGATAATATCTCAATCCAAACTGTGGTGAGGTAGTTTATAACGTGCGAACCGTCACGTCCAAAGTCATGGCGTGTTACCATCTCTATTGTTCACCAGGTGCGAAACAAAAGACGTGACAATGGGGTATTGTCTAGTCTGGATGCCACACTCACAGCACGCTAGGCCCAGAGTTATAGCCAGGGTCTAACTGAGGGGGACTGTGGTATAATTTCCTTGGGATGCATATTGGCCCTGGAGCCGAGGAACTTGCTTATGTAGACCATGGAAACAGTCTGCCTGTCTGGCCTAACTGAGGGGGCTGTGGTATAATTTCCTTGGGTGCATATTGGCCCTGGAGCCAAGGAACTTGCTTATGTAGACCATGGAAACAGTCTGGCCTAACTGAGGGGGGGGGGCTGGTGGTAGTAATTTCCTTGAGGCATGTTGGCCCTGGAGCCGAGGAGCTAACCTGTGTAGGACCTGG